ATATATATATATACACACACACACACACACACACACATATACATATACACACACGGTATGATTTTGTTTTGAGAGTGCTTTGCTTTGTACTGCAGACTGGCAACTCAAGGCAGTCCTTCTACCTCATCCTCCCAAGTGCTGAGATTACAGGTACATGCCACCAGGCCCACGTGGATATTCTAATTGAAGAGCAAAGACAGTTTTAGGTCAGTGCCCACCCCAAACACTTATCTGTCCTGGAATGTACTTGAAACATGTTGGAGTGGAATTTTTAACTGACCACTACTTAAAAGGCTTTTTAGTTGTGCCTCACAGCACATGCCTGTATTCTCAGCATTTGAAGAGGCAGAAGCTAGAGGATGGTCATGAGTTCAAGGCCAGCCAGGGCTACATAGTGAGTTCAAAGCCAAATAAAAAATAAATGGGTTGGGCTGGGGGTTTGGCTCAGTGGTTCTGCCACCTGCCTTGCAAGCTCAAGGGCTGGGGTTCGATCCCTAGTTACCAAAAATAAATAAATAAACGGGTTGTTTTGTTTCAGTTTTTTGAGACAGAGTCTCACTATGTAGTCTAGGCTGGCCTTGAACTCCGTATGATCCTCCTGCCTCAGCCTCTGTGTGTTGGGACAACAAGCGTGTACCACCACATGTACCAGTGATTATTTTGTGGTTTGTTTTTTAAATAGAAATCTCATTCCAACATGAGAAGTTAGGAAGACTGTCTTCCTTCTTTGATCTTACAGATGAGAAAAGGAATGACTTTTACTACCTGATGCACAAGCAGAATTCTCCATCACCTCCCAGTCCCACGAATGAAGTCAACACCCATCCTTCTACTTACACTGGCAGAGCAGGTAGAAGGGGAGAGGAGTAAACAGTAGGTGGGGGAGAGGAGTGAAGCTTTTCACAGCAGTGACTGTTTTTGTGGAAATGAGGCACAGATGCCACAGCACTAAGTTTTATTAGGGATTTCATTAAGGTTAAATCTCTAGGAATGAGGAGTCCTCATTAGAGGGCATAAGAATTCAAAAAGCCTCTTCAGATCTCATAGTGAACCACCAGTTCAGGTTCTTTGGTGGGATCTCCGCCTCGTTCCAGGTACAGATTATTATAAGGATACTGCTTCGGCCCCTGAGGAAAGAAAACACAGGTCAGCAGGAACAACACACAGCCAGCCAAAGGCTCACTACACCCTACTCTGAGTTAACAACTGTGCACGGGAAATGGGCACGCAGTGGCCCCTGGTCAGACCCAGCTGGGCTGGAATAGCAGGAGCAGTGTTTCTCTCCCCAACTCAGCCCACAGCAGAAAAAAACCTGAACTGTAACAGAAGTGGAGCCTGCACAGTGAGGGAAGCGGGGGCATGAAGGAGTGGGGGAGAAAAAGAGAATCAGAGTCAAAGCTTTCTAAATGTGACGATGCATCCATCCATCCCGTTCTCTCTCGGGGTCGAGACAGACTCAATCTCCTTTAAGTCACTCAGTCTCTAATGGTTCCACCACTAAAGCAGCCTAGCAAATGAGGCGTGCAGGAGCAGCAGTGGGGGAAGCACAGAGGAGACACGGCTGGGACGTGCTTCAGGGGCTGCTGGCTTTACCAACAAACAGCTGTCAGAGAACACAGCTCAAGGGGAGGAGAAAAGGGTGATATGCTTATAGAACTGAAAAATGGAAGAGCCACACTGTTTCCTGCACTCCTGAAGTGAAGTCAGTGCTCATCCCAGCCCTGTGTGCACTCTTCAGCGAGGAGCCCCTAGGGCTCGGCAAGAAGGCTCGTGTCAGTGCACACAGACAGGCCAGCTACCTTCAGGACAGATTATCCTGCAGAGGTAGCACCGGGCAGCCAACTGCAAACACAGCATCCTCCCTATCTTCGGTTCCTCTCCTTCAAATCCGTCCTGGAGACCGTTCCCAGATTTGTTTTCCTAAGAACCTAACCTTCATCATGTTACTCTTCTATTCCAAAACCAGAAATGGCTCTCTGATACCGAAGGCAGACCAAGTCATCACTGCATCATCACCCCCAGCCAGTCTACACATGGTACATAGCAGGGGCTGCCAAATGTGTATGAAATTGAAATATCACTGTACCTTCACGTCCAAATTCCTCAGCTGTACAATAACTGCCTCCCCTAACTAGATCAACTCACCTTGCTTTTTTTTTTTTTTTAATACAGTGTCTTCCAAGTTTAGGGGCACATCAGAATTACCTGGGACACTGTGGAAGATACTGATCCTAAAATTCTACCATGGAGATATTGAATTAAGATCTCTAAAAAGTGAAGCCTAGGAATCTGAATTTTCAGCAGCTCTCTGGGAACCAATGCAGCGGGTTATCTAGGAACTAGTTAATATACCCATTCCATTTAGCTAAAGGACTCCCTTTCCTTTTTTGTCCCCTTACCCTAAATGTTTTGTCCAACTTTACCACCCACACCCTATTTTTAGCACCTAGCATTAGCCCTACTTCCTGACAGCTGCAGCTCATTCCACTTTGCATATACAAATATATAGACATCGTACATACATGTTATTATACACCATACATATATACACTCAAACCAAACTGCCACATATCTTTTCACATGTTGCACATGTCATTTATCTCAATTTTATTGTTTCCTCTACAGAGTATATTTTCTATGTCCTATACATTGTCCAAAATATAACTAAGCTTACAACAGATGCTTAATTGTTTCTAGTACCCTACAGAAAGTGCCCTTCACATGTCTAACAAAGGATAAGACATCAGCTCTGGAATTTTTGACTCTAACTTAAAAGATAACTCCCTGAAATATCACAGGTAAGTATAATCTTCAAAGGGCAACTCTAATGAGTAGCTGGCTGCCATATTCTCATTCCTCACCTAGTCCTAAAATGTGCCTTCTTACTTAGGCTGTCCAAGTAGGGGTGCAGCAGTGCTCTGGTACTTAAGCCAAGCCAATAGGTTTAGCCCTTCTCTTTGCCTATCTCCTACAACTCCAGGAAGCTAAGCTTGGGTTCCTATCCCAGAGATCTAAATCCCCCAAGAAAGTAGGTAAACAAATGTGTCTAGAGTAGCACTTCTCAGATACTCACCACAGGCTGGTAGCAGGGGTACATCTCTCCTACCCAGAACATGAAAATCATGAAGGCCACAAAGCCGAAGAGATGCTTACACATGATGTTCCAAGAAACAGGTGTGGGGGACGTGTCCACACGGTTCCTGATATACATGTCTAGGTGCCAATGAATCTGAAGAAGGCAGATAACTGTCACAAAATGCTCTTCGTGCAAAAGGCAAGCAGGCAGTGCAGCATGACCAGAGCCTGACACAAGGCTGAGCAGCATTCTGCTGCCTAAGAGTGACAGTCTGAGACACACAGCTGGATCCCGCCTCCGTCTAGGCTCTGCTCACTAGAGACAGCTCTATCATAAAGTTTATAACTTTGAGAGTACAGACGGAGCTTTAATTATTCCCAGAAGTCCCATTCCATGTGCCAATGTGAAACTTCAAGTCTTGGGTTACTGGACCTTACATCTTTGAGCAGAAAAAGCTCAGTGTTACTTGGACAGAAAAGTGCCATTTCAGCTAAAGAGAGGATTCCACAAATACACAAGAAGTACAAAAGAAAGAAGGCAAATGAGTTACAGTTTTCTCACCGGCTCACCCCAGTTCAACCTCAGGTCTGGGTGATCCCATGCATACCATGGATCCCTTTCATGCTGTGAGCGGTCAGGCAGCTTTGGGTAGTCGCCATACCTGAAAAATAGCAAGAATTTCTGAAGATCTGTGAGCAGTGTCAGACAATTCAGAGTCTCAACTCAAAGATGACACATCAAGTGACAGATATAACTACTCCACCTGAGAACAGAGGAACTGATTCTTTTGGGCGGGGGTGAGACAGGGTCTAACTATGGAGTTGAGACTGACCTGGAACTCACTATGTAGTAGTCTAGGCTGGTCTTCAACTCATAGCGATCCTCCTGCTTCAGCCTCCCAAGTGCTGGGATTACAGGTACCACCATACCCGACAAGGAACTGATTCTTAAATCAAGATCTCAAGTTCTAGACACTAATCACAGAACCAAAGAAGTCCAAATTGTAATTAAAAGGCCATGCCAAACTCTAAAACATTACAATATGTAAACTTTCCTGCTCATGGTAGTGGCATACACCTGTAATCCCAGCACTTGGAAAGGTGAGACAGGAAGATTGTGAGTTCAAGGCCAGCCTAAGCTACATAGTGAGACTCAGTCTTAAAAAAATAAAATAAAATAAAAATTATAACCTTACCTACTTTAAAAAAAAAAAAGGTCACAAACCTATAATGCTACTGCTGAGGGAATTTAGCAATTAATTATTCTGTTCTTTCATCAGATAGAAAACAAAACTAAAATTTAGGGTCTGAATCCAAAGTCACCTAGCTAATCAGAAAAAAACAAGGGTACACATTAGAAAAGTATTCTTTTCAGAGCAACTGTGTTTCTTAACCACAACTGACATATATCTCTACGTCTCAAACACCTCATTTGACTTATTTGATGGTGTTCTCCCAACAAATCCTCACAAATCTTAACAGACTGCTACCATGGCTGCTGCTGCCCACAATAGTTTAAAAAAAAAAAAACAGGAAATGATGACAACTAGACATATGTCACAGGAAATGATGGAAAACAATAATTGGAGGTGCTGAAAACAAGACTGAAAAATGATGCTAGGACAAGAGACGAAAGTGATGGTAATCACTACACACAAGTAACCATCACAGTGTTAGGGGATATGGGGAGAATAACACCAACTGGAGAATGAGGGTTATTTGTTTAGGCTAATAGTTGCGATTTCCACAGCCATAACAGAAGGAGGTTGGCTGGGGATTTAGCTCAGCAGTTTGGTAGCCGGCCTGCCTCGCAAGCGCAAGGACCAGAGTTCAATCCCCGGTACCAAAAAAACAAAAAACAAACAAACAAACAAACAAAAAAAAACAAAGAGGGTGGGGGTGGAGTTAAATGGTTAAAGAGAGACACAGAGTACTCCATCTACAAATAAGATTCTCATGACAAGAGTCCAGCTCCAGCCTGGTTACGTGTTTGGATGACAGCACCTGAGCCTGGCAGATGCTCAATCTAAATGAAACCCAGCGTTCTGGATGGAGCCAAGGAAGGTTCCCGCTATTTGAGAGTCCTCGAGGGAGCCATTAAAACCTATGCTTCCTCATTTGAGGAAAAAACATCCCGAGCCAAGTAGAAAACTGAAGTCTTCTCGGCTACAGCTGCTCACCCACCTACTCCCACCTCCCTCCACCAAAGGAGAAAGGAGTCCAGAGAAGATTCAGAAGAAAGGAGTAGAGCGCCCCCACCCCCAAGTCAGTGATCATCTCCCATCACCACACCACGCGAGCGGCGAGCGGACCCTCTCTACCTTACCCCATGCCATCATCCGGGTAAGGCTCGTAGTCTTCCACTCGCATATTATACTTCTTGGCGGCGGCCGCCCGCTCCTCTGGAGTCCTAGGATAGGGGCCCGGCAGCATGTCCTTGGTAATGTGGGAGGCTGGAGCGCAGAAGAGGGGAGAGGTCAGACAGTCTCTGTTTTCCAAGTGCCTGAACGGCTTATAGCTTCAGGGGCGGCAGAGGCTGGAACCCAGGACTTTGCGAGGCCGGCGCGACCTTTCATCCCACTTCCCCTGCTGGGATTCAGCAGCTGCAGGACCCACCATCCCCGCACCCCATACATCAAACTTCAGCCACCCGCTTCCCACACCGAGGCCTCGCCCATTCCCGCCTACCTGTCCGTGCCCCTAACGGCAGCGCCTGCCTAGCTACGCTTTGCAGACACCGGGCGCCGAAAGCGGCCACCAAGCTCCCCGCCATCTTCACCTTCACGATTCACTCTGCGCTTGCGCAAGTCCTGGGACGGCGGCTGAGCCAGACCAAACCTATGCAGAAATAGTAGTGGGGGGGGCGGAGAATGTTCCAGATTCAATACTGCCGGCTGGAAAGGTAAAGGTGGATAGATCTGGGATTTAGTTCAGTGGTTCCGCCGCCTGCTTCGCAAGTGTAAGACCCCGAGTTCTGATCCCCGATATAAAAAAAGAAGAAAAATAGACTGGGGGGACTAGAGGGAAGGAGAGAAATTGGTCACTGGTATTTAAGGTTGTGTAGGGACTGAGCAGATGAGATAAATGAGCCTCCTACCTATCCTAAGCGCACATTAGTAAAACTTGCTCTACTTTCTTTGTAGCTGCTTGCCTTTTTGCTCTCCTTCACTGGCACTTCCTTCTTCCATCCTCAAACGTAGTCATTCTTAAAACACAGTTCCTAGGTTTGCTTGTCCGCCCCCGCCTCCAAATTCCATCTCCTTCCTTATAGATACTCGGTGCAGTTCACAAATCAGCCTTGAGTTGGCGCCTCAGTTTCAGTCTGTGTTTGCATCTGAACGTCCCAGTCACCTCGGCTCAACAACTGTAAAATCAATTCTATCAGTCAGAGGCAGCTCTCTGGAAAAAGCCCAAAACCTCAAACCAGCTCACAATTAACAAGCTCTAACTTAATCTTAGAATGGAAGATATTGTCTTCGCATATGAATATGTTTTCACATAAGTGAAATTTGAATAATTTGCACGTTATAAATATGCACTAATTTCCAGAAACTTCAGGATTATCACTGTTTTGGAGCAAAATCTTTTTTTTTTTTCTTTTTTGAGACAGGGTCTGGGTATATATTTCAGGCTGCCCTTAAACTCGCTATGTAGTCTGGGAAGCTGACCTGGAACTCATGGTGATTTTCCTGCCTCAGCCTCCCAACTGCTGGAATTACAGCTGTGTACCATCATACATGGTGCAAAATCTATTATTGTAGACATTCTCAACTATATGCCTGGAAAATAAAAATAAATGTGTACTATTCAGTATATAAATTTTGTAAAAAATTGCTGAACAGCAGCTTTCTTGTAAATGAGCATCACTAGTTGGATTCATCAGAATAACTGGACAACATCTGCAATCCACCAATAGTAAACTCTGATTTCATTTGGATCAAGAAACAGTTGGTCTTGTTGATCTTATTTATTTATCTATGTATTTATTTATATTGGGATATCACATGCCATACAATTTCCCCTTTTTAAATTTACAATAAAGTGGGTTTTTAGTATACTTACATTCCACAATTCTGCAACCATCACCACTATGTAATTCTGAAACATTTTCATTACTCCTCAGAAGAAAGTTCATACCAATTCCCACATTCCCTGTATCCCCACCTACTGGCAACCACCAATCGACTTTCTGTCTCTGTAGATTTGCCTACTTAGGTTCTTTTATATGTGCATTATGTGGTGTTTTGTGTCTGTCTTCTTTCATTTAGCTTAATGTTTCCAAAGTTTGTTCATGTTTTACTACATATCAGAACCTCATTCCTTGTTAGGGCCCAATGATATTCTAGTATATGGATATACAATATTTTATTTATACATTGATTAGTAATGGACATTTGGGTTGTTTGCACTTCAAATAATGCTTCTACAGACATTTTTATACAGATTTTCTGCATGGATATGTTTAAATTCTTGTGGATATATACCTATAAGAGTTGCTGAGTGACTTAGTTGCTCTATTTTCAACCTTCCAAAAATTTCCCAGATTGTCTTTCAAAGCATCTACACCATTTACATTCCTGCTAGCAGTGTATGAGTATTCCAATTTCTCCACATTTTCACCGAAACTTATTATCGTGTCTTTTTTATTATAACCAGCATCGTGGGCATTAATGGTATCTGTCTTGGTCCATCTTGAGACTGGGTAATTTATAAAGAAAAGTTCAGACAGTTCCTGAGGCTGGGAAATCCAAGGTTGAGGAAGCTGTGTCTGATGAAATCTTCTTGCTGCGTAATTCCATGGCTAAAGGCATAAGAAGGACAAGAAAGCACATCTAAGGGAAAACAAAAGGCCAATCAGACTCAAACCCTTTTATAATGGGCATTAGGTCACGCATGATATTGGAGCTCCTATAGCTTAAAAATTCCTCATTAGGCCCCATCTCCCAACACTGTTGTATTGGTTGTCAATATGTTTTTAGGGGACTTACTCAAACCTCATTGTCTAATCCTAATACTCAAAGTCTGAGTCAGGAGGATTGCTGTTAGTTCAAGGCCAACCTGAACTACATAGCCTGTCTCAAAACACCAAAAAGAAAGCAACTTTATTAGGAAGAAAAAAGTGAATGTATCCTAACTTGAATATCTGGAGTATAAAAGAAAGACCTTAAAAGTCATTTTCTAATGTCCTCCAAGACTTTGATTACATTTATATGTACATCATTCTACTCTGACTTGGATTTTTTTTATTTTTAATGTAATCTTATTATAGGTTTATCCAAATTTCTCTAGTTCTTCTTGAATCTGTTATGATAGTTTGTTTCTTTCTAGAAAGTTTTCTATTTCATTTAGGTTCTCTAATTTATTGCCATACAATTATTTATAGCATTCTTTCATATAATGTCTTTTTAGTTTTGTAACATTGGTGATATTGCCCCTTCCTTACTTTCTTATTTTAGTAATTTGAGTCTTCTATGTCTAATTTATTTTTAATTCCCAAGATCATAAATTTTTATATTCTTGTAAAAATCCAAACTGTGGATCAAACATGCCTTGATTGCTTGCCACCTCAGCCCCAAACACTTTCACAGAGACAATTCTGTTATCAGTTAGGTGTATCATAGTTACTATTTATCATAATTACATAGTTGGGCCAGCGCATTGGTTTCTATTGCTGCATAACAAATTTTAAAATTGAATCTGCTTTAAAAAATCATAAATTTACCAGGAAAAACAACACCAATTATCTTTTTTTCCTTCTTTTTATTTTTTATTTTTTGAGACAAGGTCTCACTTTGTAGTTCAGGCTGGTCTTGAACTTACTGCGTAACCCAGGCTGGGCCTTGAACTCTCTGTGACCCTCCTATCTCAGCTTCCTGAGTGTTGGGATTACAGGTGTGCGTCACTATACCTGGTCAGGTACCACTGTTATAGACAGACAAGTTAGGTAGACAGCCAGAAGCTAGAGAGGCATTAGGTATAAGATAGACTCAGGATGACCAGGCCCTGGCCAGATAAGCAGGAGCCTGAGGTCAAGAGTTAATGACAACCAGGTGGACAGTTAAGCCCAGAGACATAAAAAGCAAGATGATGGATGACAATTTCTATTCCTACCAATCTAGAAAATGATTTTTTTTCTTCTCATTTTGTTCTTTTAATAAACCACTTAAGTAGGCTAGAGGCTGTGGTGGGTTAACTAATGGTCATCTTGGAATGCCCAGCTGAACTGAATCAGTGTGGTTGAGCCTAGAAGACCCACCTAAGGATTGTTGCCAGGTATAAAAAGAGAACTGGAAGAGAAGATAATTGGCTGTGGATTTTCTTGGAGAAGCTTGCCATGGCTGTTTTTCCTGATATGAGCTTGGTTTTTCTCATCAGAGGAGGAGCTCAGAGCCTCCAACCTGGTAATGGCTGCTATTTTTGTCAAAGGAGCTCTGATCCTCGCCTTGACAACTGCTTCCTTGCTCGAGTGCAGATCCCTCAGTCTGGTGACACAAATCCTTTACCCCACCAGCGCAAGCTTTCCAGCTTCCACCACTGGCCTTTGGCCCTTCCCCATGCAGATCCTCCACAGGTGCTTGCATGAGACATTGCCGTGAGCTCCAGGCCTCTGGCTAGACTCGTGGAGGTCATTGCCTTGGGCTCAGGGCCTTCAGCTGGACTTGTGCAGGACATTGCTTTGGAATCCAGGCCCTCAGCTGGACTCTCTGGGTCTCTAGTGCATGGACAGATTTATTGTACTTCTTTACATTTGACCTTTTGGGTGATTATAAAATAATCCTATAAATTATGTGTCCCGTGTTAAATCTATTCCTTTGCAAACCCTGACTACAGAGGCCAAAAGGCATGTTCTACCTGCCTCAACTTCTCACAGGCCCATCTCTTAAGCTTATTTTATTATTTTTCCAGTACCAGGGATGGAACTCAGAACCTTGTGCTTGTGAGGTAGCTGTGGCACCACTGAGCTAAATCCCCAGCCCTTAAGCTTATTTTAGTCCTATAGGTTGACCTTATTTTGACTCAGTCTGAGCCCTGACTCCTACTAGATGAAGAGTTCCCATGCAACTGTTATGGCTTCTATCTAGATGTCCCCCCAAAGCCTCATGTGGTCATAGGAGGGACATTTTGAAGGTAACTGGATTAGGGTGTTTGAATGTGTGTCGTGAGCCGGCGACGCAGAGCACTGCCCAGCAGTGTCTCAAACCTGAAAGAGCAGCGGGGTGGAGACGGGGCAGAGAGAAAGGAAGGACACCAAGACAAGAGTCTAATCAAGGCGATGTTTATTGCAGGCAGGCATCAGCTTTTTAAAGGAAAAGACCGAACTCTTCTGGGCTAGGATTACCATAGTAACCTCAACACCTGCTCCACGGGAACGAGGGTTCACACGGGAAAGAGAAAGCAGGCTCAAGAAAAACAAATTAACAACACTTGCAACTAATAATCACGATTCCCAAATAGGTGGAGGAACTTAACAAAATGGAGTTACAACACCTGACTCCTACAGACAACGTCAGATCTTTAACAGGAAGCACCTGACTCCTACAGAGCTTTGGCTGTCCGAGTTTCTCCCGTGCAGGGTCAAAAACAAGTTTAACACGTGCAGTCCTTAAAAAGGAACAAATGTTATCTTTCAAAAAGCCAGTGGGCCATGGCTGGCTTCCCACAAATGTGGATTAAAATTGTGATACTGGGATTAAAGGTGTAGATAAGGAAGCCCAACCCTGGGTGTGGGTGGCACCAATAGGCCTGTAGCCTTGTAGCCTGGATGGAATATAAAAGGGGAGAAAAAGAAGGCTGCCTTGCTATTTTGCCTGCTTTGCCCTGGCCTATTTCTCCTCTGTGATGCTCCTCAGCCATGCCAGATTGTTTTGGAGCCATCTGACTTTGTTCTGAAACCTTTACAAACTATGAGCTAAATAAACCTTTCCTTCTTCAGCTTGTGGGTGTCAGGTATTTTGTCCCAGCAATGAGAAATGTAACTAAGACAACCCATTTTTGGGCTCCCTCCTGACTGTTGGTAGCCGGCTACTCCTCTCTTAATAAGCACTCCTTCTGTCCACCTCTTTTGTCCTTGACTTCATTCTTTAACTTAGTGAGACAGGGACTCAGATCATCTGAGGCTCAGAGCCTTTCTGAGTTCAGTGGTCATTGTCCAAATTCAGCTACTTGCGTCTGGAGGACTAAGCTCCCCATTTACTTGGTGGCTGTCACCTAAGTCTGTATCAGCTCCAAGAGCACCTGTCTTTCCCTGCCACATAGCATTTTGCTCCTTCAAGGCAACAGAATAGAATGCACCCTTGTGTCCTAGCTTCAAATATCCCAGGCTTATGTATCTGATCTCTGGACCCAGATTTAAAGGGTTTAGAGCAGTAAGGCCCACTCTTGATTAACTCAAAATGAACTGATTTGAGACCTTTATTATATCTTTCAATATAATGTAGTTTAACTGCAGGAGTGCTGCCCTATCATAGTCACAAATCCTACTCTCGTTTGAGGGAAGAGTCTTATACAGGGTATCTACAACACGGAGTACAAAACTCGAGATCCATTTTAGAATTCCACCTCTCAGCCATAAGAGCTGTCTAAATAACCAATAGAGATAATCGATGTGGGGTATTATAACCAGTATGGATTGTTTGAAAATGTAGACTGTTCATGGTTGGCCACTAGTAATAACTAGTCTTAAAGCAAGAATATGTTTGAGCAGGGGAGATGGTGCCAGGTAGAAAAATCAAATGATGTTAAAAATGAAAACAAAACGCCTCCCTTGATTTTATTTTTAACCTCCTAATACAGCCTGCTGAGTAGCTGAGATAACAGGTGCTCCACCACACCCAGCTCGTCCCTTGATTTTAAATGAATTTAACTTGCCTCATATCTTTTGCCTTAGCCTTCAAAGCTGCCTTTGACTACCAACCATCAATGTGATAACTGTTTTTCCTTCCGACTTTCTTAGGTGGGTCGAGTCGGCTTCTCTCCCCTTCCATGGGTGTAAAATATCTCTTAACTAGACCTGCCTTTTCCTTTGCCTCTTGTCTAGGCCTGGGCACATGGAGCAGTAAGCGGTGCCGTGGTTTACCAGGAGGGACTGAAGTCTAGCTTGAGTTCTCCAGAAGAGGAGCCTAGGACGTAGGTCTGTAGGCCACCAGTAGGAGGCGCGCCCAAGCCTCGGCCCCACGTTTTACTGTGTCCTTACTGCTCTTTCAGCTCATCTTTATGGTTTCCGTTGTGGTTTCGCCCGGGATGGGCGGGGTTTCCGCTTCCGGTGGGATTGTCCCTAGCCGCAGAGATGGCGGCGATACCTGCGGCCTCTGGTACTGGAGAGCCTCAGGAAGAGGCTGAAGCGTTGGGCCCTGCCTGGGACGAATCCCAACTGCGCAGTTATAGCTTCCAAACACGCCCCATCCCGCGTCTGAGCCAGAGCGACCCTCGGGCGGAGGAGCTCATCGAGAATGAGGTGGGGGTGGGGCCGTCCGAAGCGGGCAGAGGGAGGGACTGGGTTGGAGGAGCGGTCGGAGACGAAGGGTGGGCAGGAGTGAGGGCGAAGCCCAGGCGAGGGATGAAGCCTCAAGGGGAGATGAAGAAGGAGGCGAGGAGATTGCTGCTTGACAGGGGAAATTGTTTTGAAGTTGGGAAATAGTTGGAACCATGGGAGGAGAATCTAGCTCCTTGGTATTATTTCCTTTGCTTTTCTCATCTGGTGTTTTCGCTTAGGAGCCTGTGGTGCTAACCGACACAAATCTTGTGTATCCTGCCCTGAAATGGGACCTTGAATACCTTCAAGAGAATATTGGGAACGGAGACTTCTCTGTGTACAGTGCCAGCACCCACAAGTTTTTGTACTATGATGAGAAGAAAATGGCTAATTTCCAGAACTTTAAGCCGAGGTCCAACAGGGAGGAAATGAAATTCCATGAGTTTGTCGAAAAACTGCAGGATATACAGCAGCAAGGAGGGGAAGAGAGGTAAGTGCCCAGATCTTGGCTTTTCATTGACTTTAGGGCATTCATTTTTAGGATGTGGGTGAGCAGGATTGGTATGCCCCATCTCTGAATTCCTACTGAATGAATAGTCTGCTCTTCTGTCCTCTTAAGGGGCTCTTTGCTTAATTCCACTTGGTAGGGTAGTGAGGGATTGCTAGGCTTTTTGATTTTCCAAAAGAAGCTCAAGATGAGAAATTTTATTTAAACTCTTTTGGCCTTTATAGGTAGGTATGTATTTCACATTTTAGGGGAGGTTTTAGACAGGGTCTTGCTGTGTAGTTCAGGCCATCCTTGAACTTTCATCAAACCTCCTGTCTTAGCTTCCTGCGTCTTGGGATCATACATGCATGTCACCTCACCTGGCTCAAAAAAATTTTTTAAAGAGCTGGGAAACCAAAATAATAAATGTCTGTCATTGAATTTAGCTCTTAAGATTGGCAGTTTGCAGCCTTTGTCCTAGAATATTTTGGTGTTTAGGGGGCAGTGTAAATTGAGAAGTTGTCTAATTTGTCATGCACCTAGTTTGGCTTAAAGGATATTGGAATCTTCTAGTTTAAGGATGATCAGATTAGTTTGGAGATGGGGCTGTTGATCCTCTGTGATGTACCAGTGATAGCAAACACAAGATGCCCGTGGCAGGATGATTCTTCCTTTTGGCTTTTATCCCTGTTGATGAGGGCAACCCTTGTGTACATCCCAGACAGCATTCAGTCCTGCACTGAAGTGTTGCCTCTGAGGAATTGCTTTCACTGTGTAGTTCAGATTCATGTTTGAGGAGTGTCCATGATTCTTTCAAAGTTACTTGCAAAATTTTTGTGTAAATATATAATAATCTCTAGGTAGAGTCCAGCTGTTGCATTCAAGTCTTGAGGGTTTCACGTAGCTAATGTTTCCAGTTTAACCAAGACTTCTAGTAATATTACTGAAATTATTATTTCAGGCAGGGAGAGGCCATTGAGCCTTTTGAAGTAAGGGTCTTAGGATTAAGGCAGTGCTGTTTTTGTCTCTTATTCAAGTTTGCTCCTTATTAATGTCTTGTGGGGCTCGCTCAAGTGTATCTGGATTTTCATATCCCTTAATTTGTGACCTTTCTTAAGTATGTTAGGAGCTGGGGGCATGCGCCTAATTAGGCATCCTTTGGCCGTCAAAGGCTGCTATAGGTAGTTTGCTATATCAGCTAAGATGAATGAGCCTTCAAGCCAGTAATCGTTGCCACAAAAGAATAATGGTTTATTTCTCAAGTTCTTCATTGGTCATGCCATCTTTTTCATTCTGGGGCCCACATTGCCCTAGTAACTGTTATCTGGAACTTTTGCATTTGTTGTAGGAGAGCGAAAGATGGATAGTGTGGGCTGTTCCTTAAAATTACAGTTGGAAGCCAGGCACAGTGGCGTACACCTGTGATCCCAACTACTTGGGGAGTTTGAGATTTTGAGGCTAGGCTCAACTTGGCAAGACCCTGTCTCAAAATTTTAAAACAACTGGGGATGTAGCCCAGTGGTAGTACATTTGCCTAGTATGGATTCAGTTAGCAGCACCATACACACACATACACACACACAAAAGACAGTTGGGAGCAGTTCGTTTCTGTGGGCATATTATTGGCCAAAGCAAGTGAAATGAGGAAGCCTGGCTCTAAGCAGGTATGGAAGAATAACTTCCATGGGGCAAGACCAGCGTTTGGTGGGTAAATAGAGTTGCAGGCTATGACAGTGCCTGTCATAGGAGGTTTGTCAGGCCTTGAGAGTTGGGAGCAAGGCCAATTCATTTTTCTAGGCTTTTTGTGGATAGTCTTCCAGGAAACTATGAAATTGTATAGAAGTTCTATATGTATGTATGTTTTTATGGGGAATTTTGGACTCATAAAGGAATTATCCTGTGACCCAGAAGAATGAGAGAATCATGTCCTTGAAAGTTTAGTGTTGAATAGAGTTCAAGGAAAGAAAGATAAGAATTTAGTTCTCAGCTGGACATGGTGGTACATACGTGCACTCTGGAGCCTGAGGCAGGAGGCCAGCCTGACCTACCTGGTAAGATCTGTCTCAAAAATGGAAGAAAAAAAATTTCAGTTCTGAGGTGGATGTGGTGGTGTGCTCCTATAGTCCTAGCTATTTGGGAGGCTGAGGTAGAAGTTCAGCCCCAGTCTGGGAATCATAGTGTTACTCAAACAAGAAATGCTGGTGTCGATTTGAGCTTGTATTTCCAGATGTGAAGAGGCCATGCCAGGGGCTATGTGTGTATGCATTAATGGAATTTTCTTCTTGGGGAATGTAGGTTGTATCTACAGCAAACTCTCAATGACACTGTGGGCAGGAAAATTGTCGTGGACTTCTTGGGTTTTAACTGGAACTGGATTAATAAGCAGCAGGGGAAGCGTGGCTGGGGACAGCTGACCTCTAACCTGCTGCTCATTGGCATGGAAGGTAAGCAATCTTCAGAGAGCAGAATGGCTTGGTGTCATACAAACTTGATTTCCAATTTGTCTCCGTCATTTGTTAGCTTTATGGCTGAATAGGTCACTGGGCTTTTCTAAGCATTAGCTTCCTCATCTGCAGAAGAGACGTGATAATACCTCACAGATAACTCTGAAGGTGAAATGAGTTAATGTTTGTTCACCTAGTTTCATGCACTCTGAAGAAAGGGTTTTCCCTTTCTCAGCTACTGTGTGAGGACATATATTGAGATATTGGGAACCTCTCTGAAGTGCTACTGTTGGATCTGTCTGTATTGAAAGATTTGCATCCCATATTTTAAAAAAAGGAAAAAACTACTGATTCAAGCTTATCTTTTAAATGGGTATTATATTTATGGCGCTGCAAATTCAAAAGATATAAATAAGTATGTAGCTGTAAGTCTCTTTTCCACCTATCTCCCGGCCTAATTTCCTTCCGTGGAGGGGCTCCATGTTATTGCTTGTTTTGCTTGCTAAAAAATGTTATGCATGCACAAGCAAATACATGAATCTTCTGGGTTTTGTTTCCTTTTGAAAAAGAAATTTTAAAATTCCATTCAAGAGAAAGAGTACTAATGGGATAGGGTCATTGTCTTATTTTATTTCCAGCACTAGGTCATGGCAGGCTCCTAGTAGGTACTTAGTAAATTGTGAATAGATTTGGTTGAACAAGGAAGGGGAGTGATGATTGTCATTCACTACTGAGCTCCAAAATCTCTTTGATTATCCTTTCTTCAGATTTAGATCCTTTGCTGCTCGTATTAATAAAGTTTTCCAGCAGTGTAGCTTAGGAGTTGACACTTCCTTGCCTCTTTGAAGTCAGCTCTTGTTTGGCCTGCCAGGAAAGAGCCAGTTCTGGTTTCCTTGGGTCAGACTTTTTCTGTTGCTTTCCTTTCCTGTAGCAGCGAAGTGGATCCTTCAGGTAAAAGTACAAAACATCTTTTTTTGAAGATGCACATGTATTTTAACACTTAAGAAGGAGGCTTTCTTGGCGTACTTAGGCTAGGCTGGGGGAGGTTTTCTAAACTCCATGCCCTGCAGAAATGTGCAAAGGACCCAGATGTGGCCTCAGTTACACAGAACCAAGGTGAGGGTAGAACTAATTCAAGGTAGCATTTTTTTTATTCGGGGGGACGGGGTTGAGACAGGGTCTCACTAGATGAGATTGACCTGGAACTCACTATATGTAGCCCAGGCTGGTCTCAAGCTCACAGTGATCCTCCTGCCTCAGCCTCCCATATGCTGGGATTACAGGCGTGAGCCACCAAGCCCGCCTCAAGGTGGCATTTAAATAATGTGTTAAGCTTTTTTGAATTATACAATTTTTGTTTTGTTTTGTTTTGTTTTTGATACTGGGGCTTGAACTTGGGACCTTGTACTTGCAACTGGCAGGACCACTGAGCTAAATCTCCGGCCCTATTTTTGTTTTGCTTTTGGATACTGGGGATTGAATTCAGAACCTTGCGCTTGCAAGAAAGGTGCAGTGTCACTGAGCTAAATCCCCGGCCCAACACTCCCTTTATAATAAGCTTCTCCCCTAGTGAAAGTCAGCAGCCCCAGTGAGTCCCAGTGTTGCTTTGAGAAGAGTTGTATCCCACAGGTGTGGTGAAATGGGAACAAAAGTTGAGAATCTTGGGCTCCAGAAGAGCTGCACAAAACAAGGACATATTCATACAACTTAAAATAACTAACGCCTCAGAGATCATGCATGCATTGTTGGTAGGAGTCATTTCAGTCATTTTTGGTTTGCTTCCCTTGAATTTTTGCTACAGCCGAAAGTGCAACTTGTATCCATGTTGTGTGCTCTTGATTTTAGTGAGGGCAACAACCATCATGTAGAGAAGTCTGTTATTATTCTTTGCTAGCTGGTCGTGGACCGTTTCCAATAATGGCACTTACTGACCATAAACACGTGACACTTAAGTGATGTGGTGATATGTGCCTATAACCCCAGCACTCAGGAGGCTGAGACAGGAAGATCACCATGTATCTGAGGCCAGCCTGAACTATTTATTATCGAGAACCTTGTGTCAAAAAAGAAATAACACTTAATTTGCTAGGAGTTGTAATCGCAGTATCTCCGATTCTGTCTACAATTGACTGGAAGCCCTTAGCTAGGAGGGCATGCTGAGTTTCCTTTCAAGGATTGTTTAACCCGTGAAGTGGAGCCATGACTTTGGATGAAGAAGTGTATTTCTTCTCTCAGGAAATGTGACACCTGCTCACTATGATGAACAACAGAACTTCTTTGCTCAGATAAAAGGCCATAAGCGATGCATCTTATTCCCGCCAGATCAGTTTGAGTGCCTCTACCCATACCCTGTCCATCACCCATGTGACAGACAGAGCCAGGTGAGCGTGTGTGGCAGGGGAGGATGTGGAGCTCCAAATTCTAGGAATGCCTTTTAGAACAATAGCTGGAGTGTTGTTCTCCTGCCCCGTGATGACAGGCCAGGCTTGGGTTACAGCTTGGTTGCCTTATAGGCAAACCTAGAGGATAATGTCACAGTGTAGCTCACATGTGTGAAGCTCCTCAAGTAGTCCCCAGTTCTTTTTAAGTATAAAAAGCTCGTAGAGCTATTTCTCAGGAGCAGACTGTTATCATTAACGCTGATGGACTCCAGTTACCCTGGTTGGCTTACAAGCTCAAGAACAGAATATATATTGCCTCTCTTGCATTTAGTCATTGCTTTCTTTTGTCATGTATGCTGTTTCTTTATGATATGGGAAAGGTAAATAAAATAAGAGATATGTCACATATTTTCTGGATTTAAGTGAGGTACTTGGTTGACTTCACGGTCAGCAAGAAACATCTCCTTCCTTGTAGGAATCTGTTGATTAGAATTTGTTTGGGGAGGAAATTTTCTGAAGGTTTTGGAGATGGATGAGTTCTGATTTTTTCTACCTTCAGGGCATTTGAGTAGTCTTCAGATGTCAGGCACACTGAAGCCTTGGACTTTATCATTTAAGATTTAGTCCTAGACTGCCTTATGTTATTCTCCAAGAGAGGAATGTACATTGCATTTTCTGCTGCGTAGCTAAAGATATTTTCAAGCCATATTTAAAATATCAAGGTAACTATCACATGGTTGTTTTGGTAACAGTCTGGTGATTGACGTTTTTCTTTTCCTTGAACCTTGTAGGTGGACTTTGACAATCCTGACTACGAGAGATTCCCCAATTTCCAAAACGTGGTTGGTTATGAAACAGTGGTTGGCCCCGGTGATGTTCTTTACATCCCAATGTACTGGTGAGGAAGAGACTAGGGATTGGGCCCTCTGGGAACTTTCCCATTCTCTGGAAAGCTTTATCCATGCCCCTTCTGAGTTGTGACAAGACTGATAACATGTATGCAGGAAAGGTTAACATTCAGATGTCAGCATACTGACTGGGGGGAAATGAGGAGGACATTCTTCAAACCCAGTAAGATCTCAGACTTGTGGCTGTCCTTGCTTTTTGGTGTTTGAAAACTGAACACTGTAGTCCAGTGTGTTTTACAGGATGAGCATAAAGATTCCATCTTCACTGTTTCCCTTTACTACTGTGCTTAATTTTCCATTCCTCCCTATGAAAAGTAACCCAGAGCCTGTTGTTTCCTTGCAGGTGGCATCACATAGAGTCCTTACTAAATGGGGGGATAACCATCACTGTGAACTTCTGGTATAAGGTGAATATGTTCTCTTGTTTGTTTGATGGAATTAGGGCTGGGGTGAGGTAAATATAATGAATGATTTGGGCTGGATCAAGGTAGTTAGCCATCCTAGAAGTGATTCCAAGGTCTTTGGGGGAAGATGAAGAAGGGAAGGATTGAATCAGCCCCCCCCCCCTTTTAAACACACACACGATGGGGAGGGAAAGATGGAAGCAGGTAGGGGAGGAGAGAGAAGGAGAGGAAGGAAGAGGGGTTGAATCAGTTTCTTAGAAGGGAAAATGGTACTAGGAGCATTGGGTTGCCCTGAATACTGCTGCTAAAGGCATTTCCTGACCTTCCTTTGTAGGGGGCTCCTACCCCTAAGAGAATTGAATATCCTCTCAAAGCCCATCAGAAAGTGGCCATCATGAGAAACATTGAGAAGATGCTTGGAGAGGCCTTAGGAAGCCCACAAGAGGTGAGTCAGACTTTGTGTGGCATCTTTCCTAACTCCTTAGTCTCAACGTCTGACATCCTCTCTCTTCATAGAGGTTATTGGTATGTTTAGAAAATCTTTGTTTTCTGTTGAGAGCTGGGCTTCACTGGTGGATCAGTTATAATCTGTTCCATGCTGGTAGTAATGTTCCCCACAGGGCTTGTGTGCCATCTGGGGACCCTGAGGGGTTTCTTTTGGAACAGAAAGCGTGCAGTAAAGTGTCTCCTTGTGTTCTCTCTCTCATCTGGGCCAAGGCTGTTCTAGATAGTGTTGAGACCGGCTTCCCGTGCAGGTGCACCACTAATCCATTGGGTAAATGGGAGAGATTTGTATTTGAAATGCTCTTGTTTCCTCCTTGGTAGCCTCAGCATACACAGTTGCCTCTGAGGTTAGGAAGTGGCACCAGGCCGAATTGCAGGTAGCCTTTTGTTGAGGCTGTAAAAGCATTTGACTTTCCTCAGGAACATCAGAGAAACATGCAGACACACTCTCGGGGGTGAGGGCTTATCAGCTGCACTGACCTCTTATCTCTCTTTGTTGCTACTTGCAGAGGGTAGTGTGAGAGGGAAGGTAGTACAACATGAAACCATAACCACCACCCCTGCGAGCAAAGGGCCATGCTCTGGGATACTAGGTTGACCTTCAGAAAGAACACTGATTAGCAGGTTCACAAGATTGAATGAAAGCTTTGTCCCTGTCCTTGGCTGGACATTGAGTGTCTCTAGGTACATCAGGTCCAATTCCGGGATAGGGAACAGGCAGTTCTGACTGGCTCCTCATGTCTCTTTACAGGTGGGGCCCTTGTTGAACACAATGATCAAGGGCCGATACAACTAGCCTGCCAGGAGTCAAAGCCTCCTGCCAGGTGACTGCTGTCCCGTCCACACGGCTTCACTGATGAGGACAGGAGACTCCAAGCACTAGTATTGCACGCTGCACTTATTGGACTGGACTCTTGCCATGGCCCTGGAGGCAGGTGTTTGGGGCAAGGCAGAGTAGTTATACTCTACTCCCGTTCAAGGGACTTCTCATCCTTGCCTCTTGTGCCCCAGCACCTTCCTTCTCTGCCCCCTAAAGTCCTGCATTCAGTGGGTGGAGTCCCAGCTTCTGGTTGTCATCATGTCTGTGTGTATTAGTCTTGTCAACCTTGGGATGTGTGTGCATGCACACACATGTTTGTATCTGTTCCTTGTTCACTCTTTCTGGGTCAGGGTATCACTTCTGGCTGTTTGTCCCATCTCCTCCAACCTCAGTGCCTCAGCCTGAGAGAGGAGATGTTCTTGAACCCCTGCCCTCCACTGCATCTGTGCTGCAGGGCCACAGCAAGTCTGACCGTTAGGTCAGTGTACCCTCTGCCAGTTTCCGCAGAGCCAGGCTGCAGGCCAGGTGGGAATGGCTATTAGGACTCTCCTAGGCAGATTGCAAGGATTTGCCTTTGAGAGCCTAGATGGCCTTCCAATGGGAGAGGATTAGAGTTCCATCTGGGACCTATAATCTCAAGCCATACACAGAAAAGAACCTTGGGACATAGGAACCAAGGATTGTGCACATATTCCAAATTACAGAAACACAGCTTTTCTCTTTCAGTACCAGCTCTTGCCCATGTGCTAGATATCAAGGGAGTCCCCCTAACTGTGGCTCCCCTAGGCTCTCAGAGTGCAAGCCTCTGTGCCTGTGTGCACTTGTATGTGTGTATGCACACTGGCCAGCCTCCTTACTTACCAGGGTTCTCCACTGCTTGCCTTTTCTAGTGTGATAATGTAGTGTGAGTCCCTGGAGGTACTGCCTGACTTAGCCTACAGCTTTTTAACTCAGATTTTAGCCATCCTATGTTGGTCAGGTCTCAGTGCAGCCTGCCTGGGGCTGACTAGCTAGAGCCTCCAAGCCCTATGCCCTTCTGTCTGGGACATATCCTCTACTGCTGAGCTTGCTGGCTGGGTGGATGAAATGGGATCAGGCTTAGGCAGCTAACTCACTACTTTTCATCCACCTCAGGGCAAGGGCAAAGATATAGCCCTGCCTCTTAAAGCCAGCCCCTCTGCCAGAACCTACAGTAGCGTTACATGAGGTGTTGAGGGCAGCTGGTAGGACATGAAAGTAGAATTTTCTATTAGTAACTATTTATGGGAACCCCTCTCAGGGCTGCAGCTTAGAGCTGGGCAGATGGCTTTTGCATAACACAGAGTCATCTTTCATACCTAGTCAGTGGGAGTGGGTCCTTGGAATTGGGCAGAGTGGTGGCCATAAATCTATCACCTCCAGTTCCTCCATCATCCTTTTCTCTGGAAGGGAGGAGGAAGTTGGAAGCCTCTGGTTTTATTTTCACCCACTTTTTCTTTCTTTTTTTTTTGCCAAAGGTTTACTTCCAGTGTCTGAGCTATGGCTCTCGCTCCTGAAGCTCAGTTTACAGTGCCCTGATGGACTGAGATTTTGTGTGTGTGTGTCTGTTTGTGTGCACGCGCGCACTCGCACCTACGTATGTATTTTGGTGAAGGGTGGTTAGTGCCCCATTCTGGGGTTCTCTGGTGCAGTGTGGGTGTGCAGACATGGTACCTTCTCAAGTATGGCTCTTTCAAATACAGCCAATGCTGGGAAATGTGATTGCAGTGAACTCCATGCCTCCATCTCTTTGGGAAAACAAAAGCACAGCAAAGAGAACAAGGCAGATGGAGGATGAACTTGGCCACAGTGACACTTGGAAAAAGCAGATATTTTCATTCTCAGCATGTCTTCTGTGCTCCTGGATCAGCCCTCCAAGATGCGGGTGCTCGGCAGCAAAAGTTCCATGCAACTCGGTTGATACTTACAGGTTGCTGTGGCTAAGGGAAGGAAGGGAGGAGGCTAACTGAAACCTCCTCAGAATTGTTCCTGATCCTTGGGTAATAGAGTAGCCACCCTGATTTTTAGACACCTGCAAGGTAGGTATTCTTAATTGACAGAGGAAGACACTTGCTCACAGAGATTAGGTGATTAGTCAAGATTCAAACCTAGTGCTGTTTGGCTGCAAATCCCCCGCCTCTTTCAACAAAACTCTTCATTCGCCTACTTCCCTCCCTCATACCACACAGGTCCTCTCCTTGGGACATTGTCTGTAGGGAGTCAACTCAAAAGGATGCAGAAGGTCTAGCTTCATTTTAAAGCCCTTCTGGGCTACAGCTAAAGACATCTGGGAAAACTGCCTGGGAAGCCATATTAGGAGTTAAGAATGCTGGGAACAGCTGGGGGACTGAGCTCTAGATCCTGTTCCATTACTATGTACCCTTTAATAGGCCGTGTAGCTCTCCCAACATGCTTTTGCATCATAAAATTGAAGCTTTAGTTCAAGATGAGCACTGAGAGTTTTTTTGAGACAGTCTCATTACATAGCCCAGGCTGCCCTCAAACTCAAAGTCCTACCTCGTCCTCCTGAGTGCTGGGATTACAGGGCTGTGTCCCCATGCCCAGCTTGCTAAGTCTTTTTCTTTTCTTTCTTTCTTTTTTTTTTTTTTTAAACTCACTGTGTAGTTTAGGCTTGCCTTGAACTCAAAGCAGTCATCCTGCCTCTATTAAATACTGGGATTACAGGTATGTGCCACCACACCCAGCAAGAGTCTTGATTATTGTTCTGCCACTTCCCCCAGAAATGAGTTGGCAGTCCTCCCTTTGCTTGCCTAAGGGTAAGGGCTATTGAGGCTCAAAGTCTGCTTGTGACAGAGGAAACGTTGCTGGTAGCTTACCTCTTGTCCTAGCTGATGGCAGGTGAGGCAGATACACCAAGGAAAGATGGGAACTTGGGCCTGTCTAGAGGTCAGCCACATTGTAAGCTGCTATTTTCACACCCCAGGTTCAGGAGAAACTTATTTTGTGAATTCAAATATTTGTTTGAGGGGAGGGTTTTGTTCAATGGTGGAGGAGGGGCTGTTCTGGGCATCAGTTGAGCAGATGCCCAGGATGCCTGGGGGAGACCAGCTTCCTCTACAAATCAGAGCTCTAAATTACAAGGTTTTTACCAACGGGAACAGTTGGGGGAAGTCGTCTGCTCTCATTTGCGTAATGGTTTCTGTCACTGGTGATTAGACACAGGATGAAGGAAAAGAAATTTGACAATTAGGAATGAGCGATCATTAATCTGAATCTGTTAGAAGATGGGGAAAGGATTCTTAACAATGACCCACCCCAGTATGGGGAGACATTGCTTCTGCTCTCCAGAGACACCTGGGTAAAATACACTTTCAGTGTTTGCACAAGTGCATAGAGCTTTTATTGCTGCACAAAGACAAGTCCTCAGCCTGAGGTAGTAGGTACAGGAACATACATATTTGGGCATGAGCCAACAAAGATAGAGATGGATGATGTCAGATTTACAACACTTAGGACAAAGAAAAATGAGTTTGTTGTTTTGGAGAAATGTTTCTTTAATAGTCAACACTCTTCATCCCGTACCTGTGATAAGTGTTTGTCATATTCCATCACTAGGGTGTGAAGGAAACCTGGTCTTCATTAGACTCCGGGAGCTTCTGATTGGTTGGGAAGGAAAGCACGTGGTAGAGCAGAGTTTGGGACCCACCGTCTGTGTATGTTGAGTACCCTGTGTGGACGAGGTTAGAGATTATTGAGGAAGTTGGTTAGGGAGCAACACTTGCTCTCTGCAGGCTACTCTGAGCCCCTTGGATCTCTAGGGAGCGACTCATCTCTCCAAGCCTACCAGCAATGTTTTTTTTGTGGGGGGGTGTTTTTTACTTCGGTACACTAATGGGCTGTGTGCACAGCGTTGATGAGGCCCTTGGTCCAGGCATGACCCAGTGATGAGGTTAGCTAACAAGCTGAGTCTCAAGGCATGGTGAATCCTAACTTAGATCTTCCTGTGTCTCTGAGTTACTTCCCCTCTCCCATCCCCTCTCCTTTCAGACTTCAAGGACAGTGTGCACCACGTGGCATTGGTTCCTTAGTTTTATGGCTTGCTTATAGAAGCTTCCTTAAATCAGAGGCTCCCTCGAGAATAG